GCTGAGGGTTAGAGAGACAGCACAGCCACATCCTTTGTTCTCTGTATCTGAGCTAAGCAGGTACAATAACTACAGACTGAAAAGGTGAATGTCATTGATCACTCATCATGACACATGTCTGTTATTCCATGTAATGATCGTGGAGAATAGAACTTGCACTTTATACAGTTAAATACAGTTAATATATTATGCTTACTGTAATTGGAATCACTTTTTAAACCATTATTTAAACCATGGTAATTGGAATTCATACATATTGGAGCAAGGCCTACCTGTAATTTCACTCTTAAGGTAGATTTACAGTATGCTTTCTCTTTTAGGGAATGATTTTAAATCTCAGACCTAACCATTAGCTTCTTTACATGCTCGCTCTTTCTTTCCCCTTACAATTTTTCTTTTTTTTTTTTTATTTTGAGATAGGATCTCACTAAGTCATTAAATTGCCCTGACTGGGCTCAAACTTGAGATCCTCTTGCCTCAGCCTCCTAGAGTGCTGGGATTATAGTCATATACCATGTGCTGGCTACCCTTGTTTTTCTCACTCATAATTTTTCACAAATCACCTTTGTTCTCTGCAGATGTACATCAGAGATATGAAAGATAGTTTAGTGGGATTTGATGTTTCTTTTTCTAAAACTTAATCTGAAGCTTGATCATGTCTTGCTTTTCTGTTTTGATTTTGGAGAATATGTGAGGAGACTGGAATTTAGACAGGCACTATTAGTCTCAAAAAACCAAAACTGCCTCAAAATAGATTTGTTTCATGTTTATAAAGTTTTATGACTGTAAAATTCTCACATTTTTATTCAGCTTACATATACTTACAAATGGGGAGGAGTAAGGGTCAAAGCATTTTATTAGGTAGAAATTAAATATGTAGGTATTGTCTTTCAGTGGTCTACTCTCAGAAAGTGTCAAGTGTATGTAGCCTGTGAAGAAGACAAGATCAAGTATTTTGAAAGTGACTGGTTCTACTTAGTGGACAAAAGTGCATATTTTGGAAGATATAAAGGAGAAATAAAGATAAAAGGGATGAAAAAGTACAGTGCCAACTTATTATTTCTGTGTTAAACTAAACAGAACTTTTCTTTTTCAGTCCTATGACAATGGGCTGGCACAGGGAGCTGGACTTGAATCTCATGGTAAGACATCTTAAATAAATGTGTTGTTTCTTTAGTTTGTTTAAACATCCCAGTCTCTTCAGTATAGATCTCTGAAGTGTATCTCAACCTTTAGTGTGAGTAGATTATCTTGTCACTTCCCTACCTTTGTCTTTTGACACTTTTGTACCTATTTGAAGCCCCTTGATCAGTAATCATGAAGGGATTCATACAATATTTTCTAGTAATCTATTCAAGTGTTAGCCACATAAAAATATTGAGGATTATTTCTTAAGCTATTCTTAGAAAACAACAGATTATTTTCTTTGCATAACACTAAAAGGCTGAATCAGAGAGGTACAGAGACTTAAATGTGAATCAATAAATTCAAAAAGAAATGAAAATTTTCACTTTCCTTAATATAATTATCCTTAATCATATTCATAAAACATTTGCTGCTTATGATCAGTACAAACATTAATATAGTCTCCTCTCTTATATTTTTTTCCACTTTCAGCAGAATCAGAATAATAATATAATAGCTATTAAATTTGTCAGCACATCAATTGCCTGAACTCTGTCAAGTTGAAATTTCTACTGAGGAGTAAATAAGCTTTCATTCTCCTTAAAAAAACAAGCCTAAAAAAAAAGAACAAGCTTGGATCTTACAGGCTTTCCAATGAAGTTCAGTTTCCTCTTAAGCAGAGCAGATTATATGTGCTCATTTGTTGTCTCCGTGCTTCTGCCAGTGTGATAAAGTAGGAGGAACACATCAGTGTTTGGTGCTTGGCCTGAGCGCCAGCTGTGTTACTTTGACTCCAGGGTTTCCTCATCCACAGATCAGAAATAAATATCTTTATTTAAAATAATAAGAAATAGGAGTCGGAGACTTAGTTCAGTGGTGCTGCTGCCTGCCTCGCAAGAGCAAGGTCCTGAGTTCATTCCCAGTACCAAAAAAAAAAAAAAAGATGAAAAGAAATATGGGAGAAGGTGGTTTGTAAAGTATAAAATGTATAAAAATACTTATGTTTTTAACATTCTATATATTCCTTGGTCCTATGTCTTTTATCTCTTCTAGGACCTTATTCTGTCAGATATCTCCTCTCACATCTTCACTCTCTCCTTCAGTTGGAATATTTGTAGAGTGTGTATCACCAAGGGATAGAAGATGGTCTTGGATTTTCTTCTGAAACCATAGTATGATTATGACAGCGTGATTCTTTTATGTGCCTGAGTTAAATGAAATTGGGGATAGGGGAGCTGTTGATAGAGATTGCAAGCGAGGGCACACACTGCCTGTGTGCATAGAAGCTGATACTATGGCACCAGATTTTCCAAAAAAGAAAAAAGGAGAGAGAGTGTAAATGGTCAACTCTCAAGAAAGTAGGAAGCTTAGGGTCTGTAAACTCAGATCTGTATCCCTGTCATTTGGTATGGAGGATTTATAGGAAGGGAGAAACTGCATATTGATTGGATGGTAAAAAGAGGAAGTTTTAGGGACCTTTGAGCAGGCATAGATGGTCGTATGTCTCTTCACAGGTCACATATTTCTTTTCTGGATAAAGTATGTTCTGCCCAGGTGATTTTGAGCTTGTAACCTCAAAAGGTCATTGACAGATGGCAGCTAGCTTTTTCCATGCATATCTATTTTTGATAAGCTTGAAATTACCCTTAAGTAGATTGCAGAGACTTGCTGTAAAACAACTTGAGCAGTTTGTTAATCAAGAAATGCATGTCCAGGTGCATCTGAGCCTTGCCTGGTTTCAGTGGAGAGTATGTAATTGGTCATCCCCATGGTCAAGAAGGATATAGTTGTAGTTGTATGGAGAAAATCTGATGGCTCCAAAACTTTCTGAGAAGGTAGAATCTAGTGCTCACCATTGCAGCACTCTGGCTGAATTAATATTTCTGAAGGATGGGCTTTAGATTAAGCAACAGTTGGCCAGGGATTTAGCTCAGTGGTTGCGCCACCTGCTTTGCAAGTGCAAGGACCTGAGTTCGATCCCTGGTACCAAAAAAAAAAAACCAGATAGATTAAGCAACAGTTGGAAAAGAATAGATTAATTAGAGGAAGGAGAAAAACAACCCAAACCAAAAAACCATTTCATTAATAATATTTAGATTGAGGAATTAGGAGGAAAAGCACACAAAGAAATTACATTATTATCAAACTGTGACAGAAATATTTCAAATTTAACTTTCTAGTTAGGGATGCAAAATAAAATATGGGGAAACTAATAAATCACATATTAATGGACCCACTACAACATACAGGGGCATATGGAGTAATAAGGGATGAGTAAGACATGATCATCTTGCAGTCTAGCAGAGTAAACAGATAAGCACAACAAAAATGGTATGTTATACCCTTCCAACTGTTGCTCATCCTAGAGCCAGTTTATCAGAAAAACTAAATGAATGTATTATAATCTTCTAGGCCATGATCATCGAGTTTAATTTGCTTTATCCCAGTGATTTTCTTGTGGTAGAATAATTTTAGGGTAAAATGGTAGTGTGTCTTGAAGAATTGGATTGTCCTTTTTTACTAAGGATAAAACTGTTTTTCCTCTCAAGATTCATATGAAAGTTTAGATAAACTAATACGATTCCATGATTTTTAAAAATCTCTGCTTCTTAATCCAGCACAAGAAGATTAAATCTTTGACCTTAATTTCATCTAAATATTCAGTTTCCTTGAAATTACTTCATTTTTTGTGTTAACTTCAAAATAATGTACTTATTTACATAGCAGTTTTTTTGGTTTTCTTCTTTATGTCTAGCCATATGATTATTGACTGTTGTGGCTTGTGTCTAGATGTCCCCCACAAAGCCTTATGCAGTCTTTTTCGGGGGTGGCTGAATCTAGAGTGTGATGCTGGGATTGAGGGTTCATGATTACTAAACCAGTACATTGATTAGTTTGGCAATCCTGCCCTAATCCTGGTAGTCTGAATAAGATAAAAGGGGCAGAAAGATGCTGTTAAACTCATGTTGCTTTCACTACCTTTTGACCACCATAAACTGTTCCTCCTCTGGATTCCTGTCTGCCACACCACTCTGTCTTGGAGCCAGCTGATTAGGGACTGAAACCTCTAGGAACTGCAAGCCAGATAAACCTTCCTCCTTTAACTTTGGGTGTCAGCTATTTTGTCTCAGCAAGGAGAGAAAAGAAACTAACACATTGACTACCTTAAAGTATACATTTTAGAGGACATATAATTTGATATATACAAATACCAAGAGAATGCTTAGAATTGAGCTGTAAAATCTTACAGGATTGATAAGTTAATTTGTAATTATTGTACTGGTAAAGTATAAATGGAACATAACATTCAGAACCAAAAGCAGGAATACCTCCTTTACCTCATCTGAGGAAGAACTGGAGTAGATTATTAAGAGAGAATCCCTGTGATCCTTCCCTGCTGTGATGTTGTCTTAATGAGGTATTCTGTGTGCACTGATTCTCCATTTAACTAGTGAATCACTTTAGGTAACAAATTTAACTTTCCTCTGAAAATCTTTCTCTTGCTCTTTCTTATTTGTGTGCTTTAATATTCTTTTACTGTTGTGTGCCTTAAATTTTTTTTTTTATATTCTTCAGCTAAGGCATAATAAACAGAATTTGACCCTTCAGGGTCAAATTGTATTCGATATTATGAGAAGCAATTCTAGCACTATCCTTTAAATGTACTCTTGAAATATTTTGAAGTATGCAAGGTTCGTTGATCTATTTGAGTTCTTATGCTTGTCTTTTAATTGTATTCTTAATCTGATATTTTTTCCTGGCACTGGTGACTGAACTCAGACCTTTGCACTAAGCTACATTTCCAGCCTTTTTTTTCTTTTTTGAGACAAGTTTTCTCTTTAAGTTGCTCAGTTGCCCAGGTCAGGCTCAAACTTGCAGTCGTCCTGCTTCAGCCTCCCAGAGTGCAGAGATGATAAGTGTGTGCCACCATGCCCAGCTCTTAATCCTTTGTTAAGATGTACTAGATTTTTTTCTGTTTTGCTGTTTTTATGTCTGCCTTTAACACCCTTCTAACATTCTGCTATTTATCTAAGTACATAGAATAGTTCTTTTAGAATTTTGTGTAAACCAGATTCTTTAGGGACAGTGGCCTTAACTGTTGGCAAATAAATTTTAGTTTAAACCATAGACTGTAATATGTAGTTGTTTCTGACACTCAAATCCCAACTTACTTCTGGAATAACCACTTTCAAAACCTGGTGTAACATGAAAGTAAAGAGTGTTTTTAGTTTGAATTGTGCCATTTTGCTTTAAAGAATCCTAACAAGTACTTTAGAGGGTAATACTGAAATGCCTTCTTCTTACTTTTTGGTAGTTGGTTTTTAAAATGGCATGATGTCAATTAGAGACATTGTGTTTAGTGGTGCAGTAATTAACACCTGAAGTCATAGCCAGTGTATCATGAAAGAGAAGTTGAAACTAGTGAGTCATTGACAAGAAAATACAGCTGACAGTTTCTTCATAGAAGTTATTCTAAGAAGTTGTGATAAATTTGTTTTACTTTTCTATTTTAGTTCACTCAGGAATTCTAAAGATTAAATAATTCTCACTGTCTGGAACACATTAAGTATGATAGCTGCTGTGAATTTTTTAGAGGGAATGTCACTCTTCCATTCTCCATGAATTCATGCAACACTCTTAACACCAAAAGGAAAGTTAGAGAATGTAATATATTAGAAATAGTCCATTTAAATTGCTGAAATTAATAAAATCCGCAGGGGTCTTGGTTATATTCTTGTTGCTGAGACAGAAATACCCAACACCCACAAGTTAAAGGAGGAAAGGTTTATTTTGGCTCACAGTTTATGGCAGTTTCTGTCTACATGGGCTGGCTCCAAGGCAGGGTAGCCCTGCAGAGGAGAAGCAGTCTTGCCTGGTCACATAGAAAACAGCAAGCCCCTTTATATTCCATCAAAACTATAAGCTTATTGGTTAGGGACACCCACACCCTGGGTGTGGCTTCCCTTTTCAGTAAATTCATTCAGCCACACCCAGAACTACGTTAATCCAATTAGGGGACTAATCTAGATATCACACAACCTTAATCCCAGCGTCACACACCCTAGATCCTTCTGAAAAGCCCTACCTGTGAGTACGTGAGGTTTTGGGAGGAAATCTAGATACAAGTCGTAACACTAGGAAAAGCTATAATAAATTGAAAATATAAGTATTTTTTAAATGGTTATCAACAGAGAATGCCAGTGGAGAGTGTTGTTTCTTTTCTTTTATGGAAAAATACTGACTTCATTTCCTGAGTGAAATAGTCATCCCTCAATGTACCTATTGTTATCTGCTCCAGGACCCCCACAAACTCAAATGCTCAAGTCTTGCATATAAAATGGTGTAGTATTTGCACATCATCTGTGTACATCCTCCCATATACTTTAAATCACCTGTAGATTACAGTCCCTAACAATGTAAATGCTGTGTAAATAGTTGTTATGTTGTATTGTTTAGAGAATAATGACAAGAGAAATGTCTGTTTTCTATACAGTAGTGCCTCAGTTCATGAACTTAATTTTTTCTGCAATTTGGGAAAAGAGGGCCACATTTATGTCTGTGTGAGAAAGATAGCCACGGTCTTGTTTGTCACCCAATGCAGAGTTTGCAAACAAAAACAAAATTTTACCAAATGCTTCTGTTTGTGAACCACATTATTTGCAAACAGAAGCATTCAGAAAGCAACCACTGTACTCTACTTATCTGAATATTTTTGATCCTCCTTTGATTACATCCATAGTTGCAGAACTGAAAAATATGAGACCACCTGTGCTGTCTTTTAAATCAATTAAAATTGGACTCACATGACTCCTGGACAAGGACTTACTAGTCCTAGAATTTAGTTCCAAGTTTCCTATTAACTATATAATTTTGAACAAGTTCTTTAAGCCTGTCCCCAGTCTTTTTCATAACTAAAATGTTTCTTCTAGCTTCAAATTATTTTAAGATCTGTCCTCATCAAATTAATATTGAAGATTTCAGTGGCTAGTGATAAGTTTGAAATTGCTATTGAAATTTTATTTCACTGTTTTCTAGATTTCCACATTTTCCCTCCAGCCATTTTGTACTGTTTTAATAGGCATCTAAGTTGAAGTTTATAGCATTTGTGTGGTTTTGATTGACAGGAGGATCTACCTTCTGTGGCATTGCATCACTATGCCTAATGGGTAAACTAGAAGAAGTGTTTTCAGAAAAAGAATTGAACAGGATAAAGAGGTGGTGTATAATGAGGCAACAGAATGGTTATCATGGAAGACCTAATAAGCCGGTGGACACCTGTTACTCTTTTTGGGTGGGAGCAACTCTAAAGGTAAGAAAAATAATGAAATGAGGAACCTGTACTCCATGTCAGTATAAACTCTGCTGAAGGTTTGGTCTTTGTAGTGTGCATTAAATATTGTTAAGAATAGGTTACTAAGTTTTTTCTGTTGCACTAATTAAAATTTTCTTGCAAAACTCAAATGATTGCGAATTTGAGTTTTATATTATTATATTTTATGTAAAACTCGTTATATGCCTACTTTCTTGTACATACAATGTCATAAAAAGCCTGTTACTGAAACTGACTAGTAGTCCATGTTTAGTAGGAATCTGTCTGAAAGTGATACCAATAAGGATTGCATGGGAAGTTATTAATCTTAAAAAATAACCAGTAGGTCACTTCTTGAAAAATTACTTAAGATTTTTTATCTTTATGTCTAAATCTTCTGAAGCTTATTGATTGATATGCTCACAAATTTTCTTCTATCTTTAATACTTTTTTTGGTACTGGGGATCGAACTCAGAACCTTGTGCTTTTGAGGTAGGAGGCAGAACCACTGAGCTAAATCCCCGACCCCCTTTAATACGTTTTAATATACTAACTCCATAAAGTTATTGAGCCAGTAATCCCACAAGTTTTCTCTTCATACTTGTAAGTACTTCCCTCCTATTGTGTTATTTTAAGGCAAATCCTAGATATAATTTTTGTATTATCTAGAATTCTTCAGTGTAATCTCTAAATGAAAATAACGTTTTAAAAACAACTTTTAAGCAGGCGTGGTAGCTCACACACACCTGTAATCCTAGCACTCTACGAGACTGAGGCAGGAGGATTACAAATTTGAGCGCAGTTGGGGCCACTTCACAGTTTGTCTATGAAATATATATATATAATTAAATATATATATAACCTTAGTATCATCACATCCAATAAATTACAAAAAAAGGGGGGGGGGTGTGGTTCAGAGGTTCCGCTGCTTACCTCGAAAGCACAAGGTCCCGAATTTGATCCCTGTACCAAAAATAATTTAGTAGCAATTTGTTATATCCAGTCAGTGATGATGAATCGTAAGAAGCACATAATATCTAGTTGTCTCTCCTTTTGATCAGGGGGTTCCAGAATTATCAACATGATTTTTTCATTAAAAAGTTTCCATCAGCTTTTTTTTTTACTTTTTCTTTTATTTCGTTTTCTTTTATTGTCGTAAAATATACATATCACTGTATACAGTGATATTAATTACATTCATGATGTTATATAACCACCTCCACTATTTATATGCTTTTCATCATCCCCAGCATTAGCTCTGTACCAGGTAAATATAAACTTCCCACCTGTCCCACCTGTCCCGCCTACCCCTTGGTAACCTGTGTACTACTCTCTGTTAGTTTGCCTATTCTAAGTACTTCACATATGTGGAATCATAAAATATTTGTCCTTCTGTGCCTACTGTGTTTTACTTAGCTTGTTTTCAGGACCCATCCATGTTGTAATATATATCAAAATGTCATTCCTTTTTTTTGGTACTGGGAGCGAACTTAGGGCCTAGCGCTTGCCAGGCAGGCACTATGCTGCTGAGCTAAATCCCCAGACCTTTTCTAGGTTTTTTTTTAATGTCATTCCTTTTATGCCTAGTAATATTCTGCTGCATGTATATACCCTATAGTTCTTACTAATTCCTCTATTGATGGTCACTTGGGTTGTTTCCACCTATTGGCTGTTGTGAATAATGTCGCAATGCACATGGACTGTAATATATGTTCACATTCCTGCTTTTATTTTTTGGAGGTACATACCCAGGAGTGGAATTGCTGATCATATGAGAGTTTTAACTTTTTGAAGAACTGCTAAACTCTTTTCCACAGCAGCTGCACCATTTTACATTCCTGTCAACAGTGTATAAGGATTCTAGTTTCTTTACATCTGCACCAGCACTTGTTTTTTTTCTGGTTGGTTTTTGTTTTTATGGGGGATAGCTTTGCTAGTGGGTTTGAAGGGTAGCTCATTGTGGTTGTGATTTGCTTTTCCCTAATAATTAGTGATGCTTGAGCATATTTTCATGTGCTCAATGTTCATTTGCATATCTTTTGGGGGAAAATGTCTGTTTAGTCTTTTGCTTCCTTTTTAGTCAAGTTTTGTTGTTGGCTTTTAGGAGTTCTTCATTTTATTCATTTATTGTGGATATTATCCTTTAATCTGGATATTAGTCCCTTATCAGTATATGATTTAGAAATTTTTTCTCCCATTCCTTGAATTGCCTTGTAACAGCTCATAGTGTCCTTTGATGCATAAAAGCTTTTAGTTTTGATGGAGCCCAATTTAATCTATTTTTTCTTTTATTATGCTTTTATGAAATAATTGCCAAATCAATGTCATAAAGATTTCCCCTAAGGTTTTCTTCTAATAGTTGTATAGTTATATAGGTTTTTGGTTTTGTTTTTTTTTGTACTGGACCTTGCATTTGCGAAGCAGGTGGCAGAACCACTGAGCTAAATCCCTGGCCCTAGTTATATAGTTTGATGTTTAGGTCTTTCATTAGACTTCAGTTAATTTTTGTACTCTATGATATAAATAAGATCCATATCATTCTTTATATCACTAAGGGGTTAAAAATGGTTACATTGTAACCATTCCTGCTAATTTATTCACTAGCATTCCTTTAAAAAGAATTTTACTTACCTTGAGGTATAGTTTGTACAGAAAAGAGCAGTTAAACACTTCTTTCCATTAATTTTAATAGTGTTCAGTACAGTGAGTTGGTTCCATAGCATCCCCTCAAGTTTTCCAGTAAAACATTGGATTTTAGAGGGGTTTTCTTTTGAGTATCATTATGAACTCATAGATCTTAACATTTTTATGTTTTAGTTTATTACTCTTTTCAGTGATCAGATTGTCCTGCCTTTAACCTGTGTTTGGTCCTTGAATCTTACTGATATGGCCTTAGTAATATTTGGCAACTCCTGAAGGCAATCACTTCTAAACATTTTTCAGTTTTCATTTTTTTTGTGGACATTACCTCAACTTTAAATGATATAGCAATTTCTTGACTTCACAACTGTAGACATTGTTTTAGACATCTTCGTCTATTTTAGACATGTTTCCCAACTATGAAAAATAAAATTCACCTTTCTTTTTTTCTAGAAAATTGTTAGTGGTTATTTTATTATTAGTTCTGAACCTTGACTCCTTTACCATTCAAAGCTGTTAGCATACTTTTACAATTCCACATTAGGTAACATTCATATTTTGTTTGGTAACAATAATGAAATCTTTTATTTTTTACCTATAGGTTAATTCTAAAATTTGAAAACCAGTAGTCAACATCTACCAACAGTGTAAATATTAAACATTCTTTTTTAAGAGTAGAAAAATTTGCTGGGGAATAGGAATGGGGAATAGGAATAGCTCCTGAGAGACAAGAGGGGTCCCTAATGGGTTGCCAATGAGCCCACTTCTCTGAGAAGGTTTTATAGAGCAAAGTCACCAGGCAGGTACCACATGGGTCAAAACTATAATTAACCAATAAAGTACAAGTATAGCCACTTGACTAATATTGATCCAGTAATAAGTATCAAGGACATATGGATGACATCATTAACCTTGGTCAGTAATCTGTAGTCTTAGTGGGTAGGAGAGGATGGCCCACCCCTAGTGAGATAATGGTTTATTTATACAGGAAATCTCAAAAGGTTGGTACCAATAATCTCAAGCTTCCCTCCTTGGGGAAGTATGTAAATCTGACCATTGTCACTAATCTTCAAATGTGTGTCCAGCCACAGATGTGTTCTCATCTTCTGCATTGACTCCCTCAAAGGCCTAGCTTTGTCTGACTGCCTAAAATATTTCTATCTAACTTAGCTGCCTATAATATTCCCCGCTCTGAAGAGGTATCCCTAACTATGGTTAGGGGAAAAGGAGCATAGTTTACATTGAGCTGCTGCAAGCTGAGAAAGGTCTGCATAGGGGAGACCGCAGTCAGGGACCTTCTCCAGAGAGCTAATGTAATGGACCTTGGCTAGAAGTCATGTTGCAGGTGAGCAGTTGTGAACTCTCTTCACAAGGTTGATCTAGCAAGTACAGCATTGAGATTACAATTGCTCCTTTTTATGTGATGACACATGGGCTACTTGACGGAAAATTTTCCCAACAATAGGATTCCAAAGAGTCTCTTTCCTTATATTCTATTAGTTAAAATAAATGAGTAAATTTTTTTTATTTGTATCATAATTTCCCTAAAGCTATACCTTTTTTGAGAAATGTTTATCGATCATTAATATCTTCCTGCGGTTCTCTTTTATTCATTAATATACTTCATGCCACTTTCAAAACCTTCTTGAGCTCTTTTGTTCCCTCAACTACATTTCCTTCACTGTTTTTTTTTTTAATCTTAATAGGATCTTCAGAGAGAATATAAAATACATGTCATAAATCATTATGTTTGCTGTTTTTTATATTCTAATCATACTTGTCCCAACTTTATCTTTTAAAGAACTGTTTTTACTGTCCTTACATAAAACCATCTCTAGTTTCTGATTGATAATTTTTCTTTCTTCTTTTTGAAATATTTTTAGTTTCAGTTACTCCCAGTTTGTAACACACAGATTAAGAGCCTATAATGAAAATTAAAATGTGGCGCTTTTTTAAATGATTATGTTGAACAGATTGGAGAAATTATGTTTTGAATCTAGCTGAATGTGATTCAAAGAGTTTTGGTTTCTTTTGGGTCCAAAGAAAATAGCAGGTTAAGAAGAGGAGGGTAGACTTGGCACAAAGATAAAAAAGACAATGTAGCTAATTTTAAGTGTTTACATCCCCAAAGATTTGCTCTGAGAGACCTTAACTAGAGAAAAACATATCTAAATGATACATATCTGAAATGTAAGGCAAAGGTCAATGTTAAATATATTTTATATCAATTAATTTCTGTTACTTTGTTTCAGCTTCTGAAAATTTTCCAATACACCAACTTTGAGAAAAATAGAAATTACATCTTATCAACTCAAGATCGACTTGTAGGAGGCTTTGCCAAATGGCCAGACAGTCACCCAGGTAATTATTTTCTTTATGAATCCAGAACAACATTTCTTTTACTTCTTGAAATCTTCGGGCCTCTTTATCACAAAGAGGGTATATGAGAGAAATGTTGCCACATTTGTAAAGTTACATTAAACAACATGTGTTTTAAAAGGTAGATTATTTAAGTTTGAGATAGATTTAGGGTATTAACCATTATAAAGGAAAAGGTTGGTTATTAAGATGTACTGGCATGGTGTGCAGTTTTCCAAATTCTTTAGCAGTGTTTTATTTCATTTGTGATAGTATGACAGATAGCCTGAATGGGATCTTTACAAAATAGAGAATTATTTAACTCATTCAGAATTGTTAGGACAAAATTGTTAGGTATGACTTGAGCTAAGTAGAATAAATTGCTCTCAATCCTAAAGGAAATCAATTATTACTCATTTCAGAAGTCATTTAAAAAATGTATCAAGAAAAAAAAAGATGTATCAAGTCCTGAATAAAGGTATCCCTACTGCCCATATTCTTGTTGTCTAAATTTCAGCAGTTTCAGGTAACTTTTATAGATGAGTATTTGATATCTGAACTTACACTACACTATTCACTATCTAAAAACTCAGGAACCAAATACACTCAAACAATATGAATGGTGCCCACAGTCTGGCTCTTCTCCACTTTTAGCATTTTTCTCCAGCCTAACCATTTAAGCAATCCAAGGCATCCATTTATAACTTTGCCATGAAAATCAGTGTAAGAGTGAAAATAATTCAGAGCATTGATATTTTTTCTAGCAAGTTATCAAAGAATTACTGTAAATATATAAACCAGATATAAGGAATGATTGTTTTCATAGCATTGCAGTAGAATTATGGTTTTTATTAGTCTAAAACATTAATTTTTCAGCTCATCTCCCATCATAGCACTGCTATGGTTGGAATGTGTACTTGAATCAAAATGTAAGAGGCTCCTGAAATCATGTTTTTGTACTTAAAATGAGCGGGAATATTTTCTCACATACATATTTACCTGTATTTTTATTTAAAACTTGCTTTCGTAGAAAAAAAAAAGTAGAATGCTTTCAAAGTCCTAAAGTATGTTTTCACAAATTAATTTCTAAAGCAGAATATTTTTAAATTTTGGTATGTATAATACATAGCTATAAATATGCTTTAAAAGTGCCTCAAGACAACTGAAGGTTATTTTGGTTTTAATATTTTTTAAAATCAGTGTCTGGTACTATTTTAATAAATAATTGAACAGCTTAGAAAGTATCTCTTATATAAACTTACAGTGCATCATGTATTTCCAGTAGCATTTTCAAAAGAAAATTCTTGAAGCTTTTTTTCTAGAGAGATCAGTGGCTAACTTAACATTTGTATAAATATTTCTATGGAATACTCAATTTTCACAATTATATTACATCTTTGGACCCAATACACTAGAAAGTCTTAGTGTGATAAATTGAATTAATATGGGAAGAACTATTCTCCGAGGCTTTAAGAAAATCATTTTAATAATTTTCTTTAAAATTAACTCTTGGTTCTAATTAGTCAAATAAAAGATTTGACACAAATAGATACTAATATACATTTATGGAAGAAACATTTGAAAAGAGTCATGTTTTATTAAAAAGTAAATATGTATATCACCACCTACAGATAAGGAGATTTTTTTTTTTTTGGTACCGGAGATCGAACTCAGGACCTTGCGCCTGTGAGCAAGTGCAGTGCCACTGAGCTAAATCCTTGGCCCTAGGAGATATTTTTTAAAACTATTTGAGATTTGAAACAAGTAAGTTCTGGTCTCTGGCTTCAAAAAAATTCCTTGTAGGTCAGGGGATTTAGCTCAGTGGTTCCCCTGCCTCCCTTGCAAGTGCAAGGTCCTGAGTTCGATCCCTGGTACAAAAAAAAAAAAAACAAAGGAGAAAAAAATTCCTTGTGAAGGAAAATAAAGTGTTACTTCATCTGGAGAGATTTTCATTTTACACAAGATCCTATTTTGTGTCATTCTGGACATTATGTTCTTTTCTATTGCATTATTTCCTGAGAAAGCTTCCAGTTTCTAAAAATAAAGTTTAATGCTACTCTTTGCCCTTTGTAATTTTAGAATAACTATATAGAGTGTTATAATAGTGTAGAAGAAATCAAATTTATTTTGGAATCTAAAAATTAGAGAAAAGTAATCCAGAAGAAGCCTAAGCATTAACTCTTTTGGCAGAGTCTGACTTGGTAAGATGTTTTGAACTTTTAACAGCTCTTGAAGTTCTAAATGCTAGCTAGCTCAAAAATAGAAAAAAATTTTAACTGCTACAAAACTTATTTTTTTCAGTGTTTCCATAATTGCAGAATTCTTAGCTCTTCAGAAGTCTATATAAGGCTTTTAGCCAGCCAGCGATCACATGAATTCAGTGGCCACTTTAGTAGGAGAGGGCTGTCACCCCCCGGAATATGGAAAACTGTAGTGAGGCCAATGCAGAAAAATTGTTGTTATAACCAAGTAGAGTATGAGTTTGTTTTTATTGTCAAGTGAAATATTTTTATAATGGCTAACATTATCTTAAGTAGGAGAACTTTCAAAATAGCCCAGCATTTCAAACTGGATTATTTTTGCTCCTTTCATTTAACATAATAGTTCAGGAACTATCATAAGTAAAGCTTGGGTGTAGAAGGATGGGATGTATTGCCACTTAAATTCAGAGGTAGGTTTTTTTTTGACTTACAGGAAAAAAATGTATGATACGAAGTCATTTGTTTCTATAGTCTATATTAAATAAAAAAGGAAAACCTACTAAAGTGAGACTTTTATGTTATTGCTGTTCTTCCTCTCTGTCCTTGAGTGAATGTTAATAGCATCATCTCCTCTGCAGATGTTTGTTAACAATAATTTTGTCATATTTTTAATTTTGATTATCTTTTTTTAAAAAATTAGTGTTTTAAGACTTAGGGAAAATAAATATTTCCAAAAAATGTATTTAGCATTATTTTACATTTATTTTTAATGTAGTAATTGTCTGATAGCTAAAATATTTTATAGCATATGTGAGTAAGACGGCCTATTTTAAGGGAAAAAAATGCCTCCTTTTTCAGATGCTTTGCATGCATACTTCGGGATCTGCGGCCTGTCACTAATGGAAGAAAGTGGGATTTGTAAAGTTCATCCTGCTCTGAATGTAAGCACACGAACTTCTGAACGCCTTCGAGATCTCCATCAGAGCTGGGAAACCAAGGACTCTAAACAAAGCTCAGAGAATGTTCATGTCTCCAAATGACTGACTTTAGATGGGGGTGGGTGGGTGGTAGGGATTTGTAGCGTGACTGTAGCTCAAGGTTAAAAGCCATGTATAATCAAGTGTGCTCTGTTTTTTAAGGGGTAGAGTCTTACAATCAAAGCTTGTACTGATATCACTTGATATGGTCTTGAGCCAGTAACCTTTGTACTAGGTTTCAAGAAAATCTTTGTTGAAGTTTGAACCACAATGGATTCTGTTGTGGTTCAAAAATGTTTATATTGTATTTCTAAGAAGTTCTTTGAGGAAAAAAAAACTATATATGTACGTTATCTTTTTTTAAAACTCTTCAGTACAAATTGTGTTATAAAATGAACACAAATCTTCAGAACAAGTTTACACTTCATATAGCATTGATAATCTTCAGGTGAGCACTTAGAGATCATTTAAAAATTTTGACTGCTGATGGTAAAAATTTGCTTTAATTAATTATGTAGGATTCTTTGAAAACAAATAATCCTATAATTTTTTTAAAGAATAGCTTATTTTGTCTTATTCTCAAGTGTGCCAATTAAACTTGTTTGGCCTATATCAATGAAAGTAATAACTTCATAGTAAGAATAAATAGGCTTAACAAATGTGATAATTTTTTAGAGAGATTGTTTTAAGAAAACTGTTATGTAACTTAGGAAGAGGTAATTTAATTGTATGATATTATGAATGAGAATTTTATGGTATATGTGTCTATTGAAACATTGATGGGCTGAATACCAGTTAACTTTGTTTTTTTAATCTCAATCATTTGTTGCTATTTGTGGAGACAGAGGGAAAATGAGTATTATCTAAAAGGAAAGACATTTAGTGTTTTCGTTTATTTTTCTGAGATTTATGATACTATAAATTGTACTTTTATAACTGAGTTATTTTTAGTGATTTGGATTTTTTTCTTCTTTTTAGTTTGTTGCCACCAGTATGTCAGTCGCTGTGATTTCAAACTAGCAGGTTGAGCATCCCTAATACAAAAATCCAAAATCTGAAAAGATCAAAATCCAGACTTTGACACTACAAATGGAAAATTCCACATTTGACCTCATGTGACATGTCACAGTCAAAATATAGGCACACTAAATATATTGTAGAAAATTTCCTTCAGCTGTTTGCTTAAGTAATGAATGAAACATGAATTTATTTTGTATTTAGACCTGGGTCTCATCCACAAGGTATAAGCAGATACTCTAAAATTTGAAGAAATTCCAAAATCTGAAATAGTCCCAACCATTTTAAATAAGGGATACTCAACCTGTAATAATTGTATAATTTTTTTTAATTAAGTAAAAACATTTAAATACAAAAACAGAACCACTCAAGTAAATTTGGTAGTGCAGCTCCATACATGGTCGTTTATATTTTTATATTTCCAGATCAGTGGAAGGGAAATGTAACTCTTTAAAGAGGGTAAGAACTAAGCTTTCACTTTGTTTATTGATTTGTTTTGTTGTCTTAATTCTGTGAACTAGCTAATCATAAAGGAGATGGTATAAAAACTCTTCACTAGTAACCAACTTGTCAATAAATCACATCCATCACATAGTGGCATTCAAAGGTTTTAGCCTGGTACGAAAATTGAGAGGGAAATCTCACTGATGGAGCTGGTTTTCAGTTAGTCTTGGTAATAATCAAAGTTGAATTATTTTACAGATATCAATATAAAAATAAATTATTAATATCACTAGGTATTGTAATGCTTTAAATTTACTTCCTAAATTAGAGGGAAAGTATCCCAAAATAATCATTCTTCCCAAGGAAAATCTAGTATGTATTTAGAAAAATACTTGTTATTGGCATGCTTAGTTTTAAACTTGAATTTGCAAAGTCAACTATTTCTTTTAATTTTTAATTTTAAAAAATGTTAATAGAGCTAGGAGTGAAACCCAGTGGTAGAGTACTTAGCAAGTATGTATGAGGCCCTGGGTTCAATTCCCAGTACCACCAAGAAGAAATGTTTTTTAAAATTGGAAGTAAATCTTCCATACATGGGGAAAAAGTAGGGTTAACAACATATTATCCTTCCACAGGTTATTATATCTGTATCTCAAACTAAGTCATCTTTTAGATACTGAGAGTTAAAAGTAGCATGTGTATAATGACGTTAGGAGTTTATAAAGCCTACGTTATATTTCCTGAGTTAAAATTTGTGATTAGAAGATAAGAAAATAAGAGTAACTATGTTTATGAATGACAGAAAAGAATTCAAGCATACAAGCAATTCATAAAACAAATGTTTTCTGACTCCTTGAGTAGTTTAATAGAGGAATATTAATGATAGGATTAGAATAATTGATATGTTTGAGAAATAAACTTCCTTGAAAAACTTTATGGACCAGTGAATGTCACGTTTCACAGAAATATTTACCAGAAAATGTTAGGCTATTTTGAATTGTGAAAGAAACTATTCTTTTTTCCAAATAGTTATTTAGAAGAAAAATATTTATTAATTAATTATTAGTAATAATCCACATATATACTCTATTCTTTAGCAGTAGTGACATAACAGGAAAAATAATAAGTTCAGAATCTGAAATAATTCTATTCCCTACTCTAACTTCTCCCCTTTCCACTTTGCAGTATTTTTTTTAGAATAGGAAAAGCTGTTATTAACCTATTTATCATCTACAGTGTTTTTAGATTTGACCTATAAATCTGTATTTGGTTTTTGTTAGATTCTTAAAAGTAATCTAGAGTCAAATAGACGGTGCTGACAGTGGTACATAGTTTGATAACGGTTGGATCTGAAAGTAGTGAACATAGATAGAGAAGGAGGTACTTTGGAATCACATAATCTGGGTTTAAATCCCATGTCTGCCAGTTCAGCAGTATAATCTTGGACCCCAGTTTCTGTATTAGGAAAATAGTAAAACAACTCACAAGGTTGATGGAGGATTAAGTGAGATAGTGCGTACAAAACATTTAGCATAGTGCCTAAAATACAGCAAGTTCCTAATTATACTTTCTGTCATAACCCTCAAAGTTATTTTAAAACCTCTTTTCTACAATAGCGTTCTCAACAGAATTTAAACTCAGGAAGGATGATAGCAGCAGTATAGGTTTTTAATCTACTTATAAAAATACAGAATAACGAGGACAGCCACAAACACTGTCTACAAAACTAGATGATAAAATATGACTCTCAGAATGCAAATAAGTAAGAACAAACCATGGCCGATAGAGTTTCTGTGTCTGTGTTGAAGAAGGAAGAAGGCAGCTGGTTTGTAAAGCCTGCAAATTGTAGAACTGTGATATTGCCCACTGTTTCTCATTGCAAAGTACACTAGGCCAATCGGAACAGATCTGAAAGTGGGAAGGGTTCTATAAAATCCCACCTTCAGTTGAGTGTTTAAGCAATACGATAAGATCTGACGACATACTAGAGCAGTCTGGGTCTTGTACTGTACTATATTCCTCTTGAAATTAATGAGACAGCCCAGCGTTGGGGAGAAGTTGCTACAAGTAGAGTCCAAATTGGACAAGATAGGTGCAACAGGACAAAAGAAAGAAATGGTCAAGATAAATGTTAGGAAGGAAGGCCAATAGACACATAAATGTAGACATGCATAATCATATAAATCACTGAAAAAGAAAAGGTAGCCCTAGACCCATGAAGCTAGAAAAGACATCTGAGAGTGTCCACCTTAAAAGCACAGAAAAATTCATCTTCACTTTGAAAAAAAGAGCAGGATTGCAGTCAGCTCATTCAAAGTTAGTCTAAGAAGAAAATAAGTAGCTCAGCACCCCCACAGACAAAGAAAACACACTGGAGAAACATGTCCACAAGCTGGATGAAATCGTAATACTTGAAAAAGCAGTTACAATTGGAAGTTAATAGTAACTTAGTATACTATCAAGAACCTTAAAAACTAGAGTATAAGGGGCTGGGGATTTGGCTCAGTGGTGCCTGATCCTGCCTCACAAGCACAAGGTCCCAAGTTCCATCCCTGGTACTCCACACACACACACACAAAAACTGGAGTATAAAACAAATAACAAAAAAAAAAAAAGAATTCATAGAAAATCAAAACAGTAGAGCCAGTAAATTCAAAAGCTGATTCTTTGGTAGGGTTGGCATGGTGGGAGCTCAGTGAAATAGGCGAACTACCAGCTAACTTATGTAACAACAAAAGGAGGAAGCACAACTAGAAACACTTAAATGACAAGGGGTACATAGCTATAAAACAGTAAATTTTTTTAATGGACTAGTTTGAGATATTTTATATAATTACAATGTTAACTTTTTAAAAATTCAAATTATCAAAATGTAATAGATACAAAAAGTCAAAACAAACCAATTACCATATAAGAAATGAATATTAAAGGACCCCTTACCCCCCAAAAAATCAGACCTACATTGTAAATCTAGCAAATTTTTATGATTAAATAATCCTGACAGGTGTGGTGGTGCACACCTGTGATCTCAGCATTTGGGAGGCTGAGGCAGGAGGATTGCTGTGAGTTTGAGGCCAGCCTAAAGTAACTACATAGCAAGACCCTGTATCAAAAAAAAAGATTAATCCTACTATTCCTCAAAGGACTTCCAAATTCATTTTTTAAAATGAGTGTAATAGCATTGATTGAAAAACCTAACAAAGATTGTACCAAAAGAAATTATAGGCCTGTCAAAAAAGTTTTAATGATTTATTACCAAATAATCCAACAGCACTTTCAAAAGGTAATAAATCATGACAAATTGAGTTTATTATAGGAATGCAAGGATAATTTGATATTAGGTGATCTTCATATTCATATTAAAAGTTTTAAAGTAAATGATTATTTGACTCGTTAAATATACTCAAGAAGAAATTAACTCATTAACATTGTACCTCTGCCTACAGACCAGCATCTTAGTATTGAAACATAAGAGGCTTTTCAGCTAAGTCAGAAACAACATAAGCCTACTGTGTCCTCTGCTGTTTAACATTGTGTGGGGAATTTTAGCCAAGGAAATTAGACAAAGACAGGAATTAAGAAAAAAATAAAACTATCTGCAGATATGACTATATATCTAGAAAGCCCAGAGGAATTTCTTGAAAAACTATAAAAGAACTTAGTAAAGTATCAGTTGAATACAGTTGATACAAATCAGTAGCCATCCCCAAACATCAGTACATATTCTGATTCCATTTAGATGAAATACAGTACTCTATAGGCAGAGTTCATGTATGCTATCAGAAATCATCCTCTTTTGTTCATCTCCTCCCTTCCCAAAGGCAAGTGCTATTATGCCTTAATTCATCATTGATTGGTTTTGCCTACTTTTTAACTTTCCATAAGTGTATATTGTATACATTTTTTAACCTAGCTTCTTTGGTTCTGGAAAACAATACAAGGGGACTCTGGTGCTGGTAATGTTCTGTTTCATGATCCAGGTGCTGGTTACATAGGTGCATTCATTTTATGAATATTTATCAAGCTGTACACTTGATTTGTGCACTCTTCTATAATTACACTTCAATAAAAAATATTTAGTAAAAAATTAAAAGACTTTATGTATACAAACCTAAAGTAGTTAAAAGATACACTTCAAGAGAAGACCCCTTTGTGATTGTAAAAAAATAAAGTTAAGGTATAAACTTACTAAGACATGTCTAAAGCTTATATGAGAAAATATTTTTTTAAAAGAATAAAACTCTTCAAAGAAAAATAGGCACAAACAAGTGAAAATATATACTCTGTTCAAAACTTGATTTTCTCCTTAGGTTAATTTGTAAATTTAATGCCATCCCAATAAATATTGTTTGTTTTCATTTGAGAGAAAGAATATCCATGAAAACAGAAATGAATGAGAGGGGACCAGCCCTGCCATACATTAAAACATATTCTAAATCTTCCTTAGCAACAGCTATTAGAATTTAAAATGTATACTTTGTCCCAACCAATTCCATAGCTACAAATTTAACTTATATATGCAAATAGGCAATGATAAAGTTTCAAGGATCTTAAAATAGTTTTGTAAATTGTGAAAAAGACATTGATAAATTGATGAATGAATTAAAAGTTTGATGTTAGTACATAATAGGCAGTCCAGTGGAACAGAAAAATTCCAGCAGTAGTCTCAGTGGCATATTAAAGTACAATAAAGGCAACAGCTTAAATCAGTGAAAAAATTAACTTTTTACTAAGTGCTACTGGAATGACACTGCTTATTCAGATATTTACATATTTTTAAACATGTACAACTTCATTTACTTTGAATCTTTGGCTTTTATACTGAATATTTTATAATTTACAAAAAGAAAGTGATAGTCCTTTCCTATCCCTACCCCCAGCCTGTACATCCTGACCTAGTGGTGACTACCACTATTGCATAAAATGTATCTTTAAATAACTATATTTGTGCATTACTCATCCCAGTACCTTGTATATACTTACAGAAGTACATATATGTACTTATGCATACTACATAAAGATCTAAGATATTATGTATTCTGTAAGATAATGAACAATATATTAGGAATACCTTTCAAAGTCCATACTTTTTAACAGTTATTAAGACAGTAATAACAGTAACACACTACAAAAGTGTATCCTCAGTGCCTTTTCACATTTACAAGTATTTTGCTGTAAGAGCCTCGAAAATGTGTCATTGCCTATTTGTGTTTGTGCAAAATTTATAAATAGGAATTGTCAGGCAAAAAAAGTGTACATAGCTTCTGATAAAGTGCTTTTTAAGAAAGTCATACTAGGGCACCTGGATACTGAGATTTTAAGTATGATCATTAAGTAGACTTTTGATAATAAAACACCATCTACTTGTAACAATTGTAGCATTGGAAAAGACTAGTGGCTGGTTCCTCAGTGTTCATGTACAACTTTTAAATATGAGCCACAAATACGTAATGACTCAGGATCTGTGCATGTGTGTGTATACATGTGTATACACATACATACATCATTCATAACAGTGTTGCAGCTCAAGTGCACATTTTCTGTCTCCAAGACAAGGTTCTTTTCATGCCACACCATTTCTTTGACCAAGGTATTCCCTCATCCTGTTGCCTTCTTTTCACATTTTTCCTGTGTCTAGTTCTACTAACTTTTCCTATGGTTAGTTCTAACTTTTCATTAAACCCCTAACTACAGTTAAAGTTGGTTGCCATTAAAAGTGTGTGGAATTTCCTGAACTGATTGATAATATACTGCTGTCATCTCAGATGCTTCATTTCAGAGCCTGGTGAGAGGTATGTTTGCAAATTCTTGTGGGTGTATAAATATTTCAAAATATCTTTTTAAAAAAATTGTACATGGGGGCCCTGGGATTTAGTTCTGGTTCCACAGCCTGCCTCGCAAGCACAAGGTCCTGAGTTCGATCTCCAGTACCAAAAAAAAAAAATTGTACATGAGCTGTGGACAGAGTTCAATAGTAAAGCTTGTGCTTAGCATCCAAAGGACCTGGATTTGAACCCCAGCTCCCCAAACATACAAAATGTATGTGGAAACATGAAAGGTTCATAAGATTCACTAGAGAAACTGAAGTGAAAGTAAAAGAAATTACAAGCTTAAGGTCAGCACAAATTTCTTTGTATTCAATCCTACTTGAGGAAGTCGGGAGTTTGGTAGAGCTTTATGATGTCTCTAAGGAGTGAAAGAAAATAATTACTAACCTATTTGATAAAATACATAGGAGTTAGCATCCTAGAATTTTTGGGGTACATTTTAGATATACATAGTGATGACATTCCTCATGGGGAATTTGTACCTGTACATGATATATCTTGCTTCTTTTTCTCTCATTCCCCTCCCCTCCCTTCAACCCCTCTTCCCTTCCTTATTTACAAAAGCTTTGTTTCCGTTTTTTTCCTTCTCATTTTTTCTTGTCCCTTTCTTTCCTCCTCACCCATGCCTTGTTCCCTTTCTCATTTGAACATTTTCTTCCCATTTCTCAACATACATATTTTGGTCCTATTTACACTTTTGGTTTCTCACACCAGAAAAAATAATGTATTTAAACATGTGTGTCTGATTTATTTCACTTAAGAGTATGGTCTCAAGGTGCATCCATTTAGCTAGAAATAGCTCAAGTTTATCCTCCTTTATAGTAGACTACTCTGTTGTAAAACAAACAAACAAACAAAAAAAACCCCACATCTCCTTTATTCATTGGTTGATAGGCATTGAGGCTATTTCTAAGATTTAGCTGTTACAAACTGCTGATGTAAACATGCTATAAGCATATATTGCTATGGTATGATGCTTTTAATTCTTTCAAAAAGATATTAAGGGGAATAGCTGAGTCAAATGGTACCTCTAGTTAGGTTTTTGAGAAGTCTCCACACTGATTTCCACAGTGGTTGCACCAGTCTACACTCCCACAACAATGGAGGAGGGTTTCTTTTTCTCTACGGCCCTGTCAGCATTTGTTACTGGATGATTTCTTGATAATAACCATTCTTTCTGGAGTAAGATGGAATCTCGGCATTATTTTAATCTGCATCTCTCGGATGACTAGTGATGTAGAACATTTTTTCATATATTTATTTGCCATTTCTACTTTTTCATCTGAGAAGTGTCTGTTCATTTCAGGTGCCTGGTTTTTTGTTTTTGTTTTTTTCTGGTACTGGGGATCAAACTCAGAACTTGTGCTTGCCAGGCAGGTGTGGTACCACTGAGCTACATCCCCAGCCCTCAAAAGCCCATTTTTTAATTGGGTCCTTAAATTTGAGTGGTCTAATTTTTTTGAGTTTTTTATATATTCTAGATACTAGTCTCTTGTCTGAGGAACAGCTGGCAAAAATATTTCCCTTCACTATGTTGTCTCTTTACTCTGTTAGTGAGTTTTTTTGTTTGTTTGTTTTGTTTTGTTTTATGTCCAAAAGCTTTTTAATAAGATGAGATCCCAGTTGTTGATTCTTTGTGATATTTCCTGTGTGATTGGGTTTTTGTTCATAAAGTCTTTGCCTACACGAATAACTTCAAGAATTCTACCAACTCTGTCATTCAGCAGATTCAGTGTTTCTGTTATAATATTTAGATCTTTCATCAATTTTGATTTTAGTTTAGAGCATGGTAAAAGATATGGGTCTAATTTTAGTCTTCAGCATGTGGAAAGCCAGTTTTTCCAGGACTATTTATTAAAGAGGTTATCTTTCTTCCAGTGAAGATGTTTGGCTCCTTTGTCAAAGTAAGTTGGTTGAGTGTGTCTGGTGTTGTTTTGACATCTTCTAATCTGCTCCATTGACCCTTGGGTCTTTTTATTACTTATTCTTATTCTTATTATGTTTGCCAGTACCATGCTGTTTTTATCACAGTAGCTTTGTAGTATAATTTAAAGTCAGGGATTGTGATTCCCCCCTGCCTTGCCTTTGTTGCCCAGAATTGCTTTTGCTATTCTAGGTCTCTTTTGGTTTCAAATGAATTTTAGGATTCTTTTCTCCAGTTTTGCAAGGTATGCTATTGCTATTTTGATTGGAATTGTGTGAAATCTGTGTAATAGTTTTGGAAGTATGGCCGTTCTGACTATCCAAGAACAAGGGATATCTTTCCATTTTCTGATATACTCTTCAGTTTCCTTTTTCCTGAGTACTGCAGTTTCAACATAAAGGTCCTTTCCCTTGTTTCTTTTGCAACCATGTGGACACCATGAGCTGTTGCTACTTGGTGATGCCCCTCTGCCATGTGCCACTCTGCCTTGGAGCTAGCCAATTGTGGACTGAGGCATCTATAAACTGTGAGCAAGATGGGTTCTTTCCCCTTTAGATTTGAGTGTCGGATATTTTGTCTCAGGAATGAGAGAAAAGTAACTAAGACAGTATTCTTACTATTTTATTGATGTGTCTTTTAGTACAAAGTAATGGTGTTCGTTTTGGGGACTTGTACGTACATATAACCTAAATTGATCACTTTCAATACCTTTGCCCCACCCATCTCCCCTTTCCCTCAATTCTCTTCAAATCCAAGAACTGACAGAATCTATCTATTGTCTATCTTCTGTCTGTTGTCTTTTTTTGTCTTTTTATCTATTGTCAACTTATCTATCATCTATCATCTACTATATTTTAAGTTTTTCACATAAGAGAAACCAAGAAATATTTAACTTTCTGTGTCTGATACACTTCAGTTAGCATGATAGTCTCAATTTTCATTATTTTCCTGCAAATGACATAATTTCATTCTTCTCTATGGCTGACTAATTGTGTATATATACCACATTCTCTTTATCCATTCATCTGTTGATGAACATTGATTGGGCTGTTTGCAGATTTTAGCTACTGTGAGCTGCTCTAAACTAAATGTGTACAGGTCTAATTTCAGGAATAAACAGCTGAGTCAAATGAAGTTTCAACTTTTAGTTTTGGAGAAATCTTCATACTGATTTCCATAGTATACTCCTTACTTTCCCATCAACAGTGTAGGAGAGTTTCCTTTTACCCACACCCACATCAGCATTTGGTGCTTTTTGTGTTCTTGATGATAGCCATTTTGACTGAGTTAAGATGAAATCACAGAGCTGTTTTGATTTGTTATTTCCTTAATGGCTAAACATGTTGAACATTATTTCATGTACATATTGGCCCTTTAGACTTCTTCCTCTAAAAAGTGACTATTCAATTCACTTGCCCATTGTTTGATTCAGTCAT